CCTCGCAACCACAGCCGTCGCCCGCTCCTGCTCCTGCTGCCGCCCCCATTCCCGCCCCTACGCCGGATGCGCCTTCTCCGACGGCGTTTTTCGACGCGCCCCCACCTACGCGCGAGGCCGCAACGACGCTTGGCACGTCTCAGCACAAGGACAAGGGCCCCGACGCTGGTCCCGACGTTCCCGACAAGTCCAACCGCGCTCCGTCGGGACGTGGCGGGAAGCGTCGGGAGCTCGCGGACATCACTTCCGAGGACGAGGACGCCCCTCGTCCCAAGAGGAACCGCGGGCGCGGCGTCATCAAGTCCACCGTCGTCGTCGACAGCGAGGACGAGGACGAGGACGAACTCGAGGCCACGCCCGCGCCAAAGAAGAGGACGAAGGCAGCGCCGAGGTCGAAGCCGAAGCCGAAGCCGAAGGTAACGAAGACAAAGGTCGACGCCAACTCGAAGGCAAAGCCAGCGGCCGGCGATGGCGAGGACACGAACGCGGTGGATCTCGGGAGCGACGCTGATGCTGAGGCGGACACGGACGAGGATGCGAAGGTTGTCAAGAGGACGCGTGGGGCTAGCAGGAAGGGGAAGGAGAAGGAAGTCGTGCCGGAGGAGATAGAGGAGGGGGAGGAGGGGGAGGAATACGAACCTCCCAAGACGAAGAAGAAGGCGAAGGGCAAGCGCAAGGCCGTGCAGGAGAGCGACGATGAGGTGATGGTGGTCGCGCCCCCGAAGAAGGTCGGGAAGACGAAGACACCGGCGCCGGTCAAGCCGCCGAGGCAGCGTGCCGTGCGCGAGGCCTCGTGGTGGTCTGTCAAGGGTATGCCGTTCACGGCCGAGCGCGATGTTTATCAGGCGCTGGAGGACGCGTCGCCGGATGAGCCCATCGACGACTTCACCCTCTTCCAGGTCCCCGAGATGCACGGCCTGAGGCGCGAGAACTTGGCGCAGTATAAGGTATTGTTGAGTTGTGTCCTGTCATTTCTTCTCGCGCTGACTTGGTCGCAGGAGCCTTGCAAGGACTGCTACAGGTTGAACTCGCGGTGTATTGTGCGGCCCCTCACCAGCACCAAGAAGGGGTGGACCTGCCTGCACTGCTACATCAAGCAGCGCGGCTGCTCTGCCAAGATCGCTGGAAGGGCGCCTGAGATCGGGAAGGACATCGAGTTCCTCACGCCCGAGGGCCACAACGGCGTGATGCCCACGTTGCTTCCTCCAGACGCGGCTGTGCGGATTGCGTTGTTGGAGAAGCTTGTGGCTGAGAAGAAGCTGAAGGCTTGGCCCTGGTATCTTGACCCCGCTGGTGAGTCGAATGTCGGGAACGTCGGGAACGTCGGGACCTTGCTTACCGTCTCTTTCTAGGCACCATCACGCGCGCCGACTTCGCCCTCAAGCTCCCCGGCGGCGAGGGAACGTCTCGGTTCGTCAAGCTGGAGAAGACGTGGTCCACTACCGCGAGTTATCGGGAGACCTTCCCGAGC